GAACGTGCGGATGCAGGCGATCGTCACCGAGCTCGTGTTCGAGCACGCGCTCCGCATCCGCATGAAGGCCGAGACGTCGGACAACGCCACGGCGGACGACAGCAACGCTCCGACTGCAGTCGCAACCCCGGACAACGCGTCCCAGGCCGACGTCGACGCGTCGAGCACCGACGACGCGGACACCGAGACTGGCACTCATTCGGCCGAGTCGAGCACCGCGACTGCGGTTTCGCCGTCGCCCCAGCGCCAAGACAAGGACAAGGGCAAAGGCAAGGAGGAACCCGCGAAGAAGGAGGAACCGAAGAAAGAGAAGGGCAAGAACCTCGTTGGCCGCATCAACAACCTCGTCTCGAGCGACTTGAGCAGCCTCGACTTCTCGTCCATGCACCTCGTGTTCGCCACCATCGAGTCGCCCTTCCAGATCATGCTCTGCATGATCTTCCTGCACCAGATTCTCGGCTGGAGGCACGTTCTCTCTCGACTTCAACCTTCTTGATTTAACTTACATTGGCTGCAGCGCGTGGGTCGGGTTTGCGGCGATGATCCTCACGCTCCCCATCCCCGGTTACATCACTAAATACCTCAGCACCACGCAGCGCGAGAAAATGCAGCGGACCGACGGGCGTGTGCAGCTCGTCTCGGAGATGATGAACGTCATCCGCATGATCAAGCTTTTCGGCTGGGAGTCGCGCATTTTGTCGCAAATCAAGGAGAAACGTGATGAGGAGTTGGTGGTCATTCGCAGGAACAAGCTCCTCGGTGTCTTGAACAACTTGTACAAGTGAGTGGTCGATTGCTTGCACATGGCGTGAGCCAGATTTGAATATGATGCGTTTACAGCTACTTCGTCCCCATCCTTATCATGCTCGTGACTTTCTTCACGTACTCGGTTATCATGAAGGAGTCGTTGACCGGTACGCCGTATCCTGTGTCCTCTCTTGTTCCGCGCTCATTACCCCGCAGCTGCGAAGGTCTTCTCGGCAATGAGCGTTTTTGACATGCTCCGCATGGACATCGCCGCGACTTTCTACATCATCCCGGCCCTTATCCAGACTCACGTCGCCATTGGACGTATCGCGGACTTCCTCTACAACACCGAGCTCATCGACGAGTTCACCGAGGCCGCGAACCCGGAGACCGCGCTCGTCCCCGCCCCGATCCCCGACTCGCACAAGGACAGCGTCGGCATCCGCCACGCGTCCTTCACCTGGGCCAACGACTCGGCGCAGCAGGCGTCGGTCACACCCGGGGGCACGCGCCGGCGCGCCTTCGCGCTCCGCGTCGACGACGAGGTCTTCTTCCGCCGCGGCAAGATCAACCTCGTCGTCGGCCCGACCGGCTCCGGCAAGACCTCGCTCCTGATGGCGCTCCTCGGGGAGATGCACTACCTCCCGCAGGGCCCGGACTCGTTCGTGAGTCTCCCGCGCACGGGCGGCGTCGCGTACGCGGCGCAGGAGAGCTGGGTCCAGAGCGACACGATCCGGAACAACATCATCTTCGGCGCGCCGTTCGACGAGGCGCGGTACAACAAGGTCATCTCGCAGTGCGCCCTCAAGCGCGACCTGAGCCTCTTCGATGCCGGAGACCAGACTGAGGTCGGCGAGAAGGGTATCACGCTCAGGTCCGTCGTCGTCTTGTGTGTTCTGTGCTTGTGGCTGACGATGTTTCCCAGCGGTGGACAAAAGGCTCGCATCACCCTCGCGCGCGCAGTCTACTCGAACGCGGACATCCTCTTGCTCGATGATGTAACGCGCATCTCTCGCCTCCGCACACTGCTTGTCGCTGATACACCCTACAGATCCTCGCCGCGCTCGACGTGCACACCTCCCGCTGGATCGTTGAAAAGTGCCTCAAGGGCGACATTCTCCGTGGCCGCACCATCGTCCTCGTGGTAAGCGCCTCCATCGTGCCTTGATCTCCTCACGCCCTGCTCACGCGCGCTCGATCAGACGCACAACGTCGCCATGGTCAGCCCGATCGCCGACTTCGTCGTCGACATGGGTGCGGACGGGCGTATCGTCAGCCAGGGGTCTCTCTCGACCGCGCTCGCGCACGACACGAAGTTGCTCAAGGAGTTGAAGCAGGACGAAGAGGAGATGAAAAAGGCGAGCCAAGAGCTCGACGCCGAGGAAGACGAAGACGAAGACCAGGAGGCGAAAAAGGACGCCGGCAAGCTCGTCGTCGAGGAAGAGACTGAGCTCGGGCATGTGGGCTGGGACGCACGTAAGTTGCTCATCGGAATGGCTATGTAGATGGATGACTGATCACGAGATTCCAGTGAAGCTCTTCATCATGAACATGTCGAGTACGCCTGTGCTCTTCTGGGCTGTGTATATTGGCTTGTACATTGTCCGCCACGCGTTGAACAATTTCCAGGTGGGTAGTCGTTGACGCTTCTGTTTTCACTCTCTGTTATTGATGGTTTTGCACAGACTTGGTACCTCGGTTACTGGGCGGCCCAGTATGAAGTCATGCCCGCGGAGGACGTCGATGTGTCTTAGTGAGTGAGCTTTCATCGGCCCATAAATGAGTGAGCTGACAAATTCACAGCTACCTCGGGATGTACTCTGTCACTGTCCTCATCGGCATGATTATGTCGGCATTCTGTATCATCTACTACGTGTTTGGGACCATCCGGGCAGGGCGGATCATCCATGAGAAACTTGTCGTTTCCGTCATGGGCACCACGCTCCGCTGGCTCGACAAGACACCGACGTCGCGCATCATCGCGCGCTGCACTGAGGATATCCAGGCCGGTATGTGAATCACGTTCTTCATCTACACGCCCGTCTTTGTTGACTTTCGAGGCAGTCGACAACCGCGTCGCGATGACCACCGAGTTTGTCGTCCAGATCGGAGTTTTCATGATCCTCAAGATGGTCTCCGTCGTCATTTTCTCGCCCATTTTCCTCGGCCCATCGCTTGCCGTTGCGTTCCTTGGCTACAACATTGGCTCCATCTTCATGAAGGCACAACTTTCCGTCAAGCGCGAGATGAGCAAGGTCAAAGCGCCGGTCCTAGGCCACTTCGGTGCCGCTATCACCGGAATCAGTGCGTATTTCGCCATGCTAGGTGGTACGGATGCACGGGTTGCTAACCGGCGGCGTTCTCGATAGCTTCCATTCGCGCCTATGGCAAGCAGGAAGACTTTAAGATGGAGTCGCAGAGGCGCATCGATCGCTTCAGCCGTGCCTCTATCACGCAATTTAACCTCAACCGGTACGTTGGTAGTCGTCATGCCGCGTCCAACGCAGATACTAACGAATGAGTATGCAGCTGGGTATCGATGCGTGTCGACTTCGTTGGTACTCTGTACAGCACGGCCCTGACCACCTACTTGGCGTACATCGCGCACATCAGTGCATCCAATGCCGGTTTCTCGCTCAACATGGCCGGTGCGTAATTCACGTCTGGTGATCCACGCTTCGCGCTGACGTGACCGTTCCCCCAGCTGCCTTTAGCGGTGTCATCTTGCAGTTCGTCCGTGTCGTCAACGAGTGGCAGGTGTCTAGCAACAGCTTGGAGCGTATTCAGCAGTACCTGAATGTCGAGCAAGAACCGAAGCCCACACCGGAGGGTGTTCCTCCCGCGTACTGGCCCGCCAGCGGTAGCCTCCACGTCGAGAAGCTCTGCGCTCGCTACTCCGAGACCGGCCCCCGTGTCCTCCACGAGGTCTCGTTCGAGGTCAAGTCCGGTGAACGGGTGGGCATCGTCGGGCGTACAGGCAGCGGCAAGGTACGAAACACCTTCCATTTACATAGACCGAGCCGGATTTACTGACGAGCCCCGCAGAGCTCCCTCACCCTCGCGCTCCTTCGCTGCATCCTCACCGAGGGCCACGTCCGCTACGACGGCCTCGAGACGCACAACGTCAACCTCGACGCCCTGCGCTCGAGCATCACCATCATCCCGCAGGTGCCCGAGCTCCTCAGCGGTACGCTCCGCCAAAACCTGGACCCCTTCTCCGAGCACGACGACGCGGTGCTCAACGACGCCCTCCGCTCCGCCGGCCTCTTCTCCCTCCAGGACGAGGGCGACCACTCCCGGATCACGCTCGACTCCGAGATCGCGGGCGGCGGCGCGAACCTGTCCGTCGGCCAGCGCCAGATCCTCGCGCTCGCGCGCGCGATCGTCCGCCGGAGCAAGCTCCTCATCCTCGACGAGGCGACGTCCGCGATCGACTACGAGACGGACACGGTCATCCAGGGCTCGCTGCGCACGGAGCTCGGCAAGGACGTGACGCTCCTCACGGTCGCGCACCGGCTCCAGACGATCATGGACTCGGACAAGATCATGGTCCTCGATGCGGGGAACATCGTCGAGTTCGGGAGCCCGGCGGAGCTGCTGAAGAACGAGAAGGGCATGCTCAGGTCGCTCGTCGACGAGAGTGGGGACCGCGAGAAGCTGTACGCGATGGCCATGGGCGTGGCGAAGGCGTGAGGAGGTGTGCCGACTACCTGCTCTAGTATATCTCGGATGCGAGATTTTGGGTTTATTTGTTACATATACTGCGCTGTGATGTAATGCTTTTGGTGTTTGCTTACTATCGTCGATCAAAATCATGATACGTTCAAACTTCAGCCATCAATGCATCACAGTTCGGACGTTTGAGAGTTGCTTTGCTGGCTTCCGCGCTACCGATCTGCCATCCTGCAGGACGGGCGTCCACAGGGTGCCGTGCGTGCCCGACAAATGGGCATTCGTCGAGCAGCTCATGTACGCGCGTTTAGTCTCCCCAATGTACAGTGAGGTCAGTTAGGCTCTATAGGCCGGATCTTCTGTGAAGGCTGGCCAGGTTTTCGCAATCAGTTCATTCGACCCAAATTCGACCACGTTGTACCAGAGTCAGACGCGGGGTGAGTGACATGTTTCATTGTTGTTGCAACCCCCCACCACGGAGAACGCTGCGATCTGGACGGGGCGAGGACAGACAACTCGGACGAATGGATGGCAAAGTGGCAACCAAATGCATTTCAAGTGGACTCTCCTGGTCGAAGTGACTAGTACAAATGTACGTAGATGGCACATGTTGGCTTCCCCGCCGCGCGAACGACGGGTACTAGTCCCGAGGGCCACGGAGAGGCCTGCGCCAATACCTCGGGGAGCATGTTTAACCGGAGGTCGTAAGGACCCTCGTCGCCCGTACTAACATGGACATAGAGAGAGAGAGAGAGAGAGAGAGAGAGAGAGACCAAGGACGGGCCGAGCTGGGGCCGGCGCGTACGAGTGTCCCGGAGCCTAGAAACATTCCGTGAGGATCGCGGAGCGGCAATCATCGGGTCGTGCGCGCCGCCTGACGATCGCCGTCCATGAGGGCATAGGAGAGGGGAGAGGAGGAGAGCAATCGAGAGAAAAGAAATCCGAATCTGAGGGCGGCACGCACGGATTTCCGGAGCCGAATCATTCCTACAGGCTTCGTGGAGAGGCAACCATCGGGAGTGTGCGTGCCGCCTGGCGCAGGACCATGCCCTACTTTCGCCGCTGGATTGGACAACGGGAAGTGATCGACTGGGCCCTTACTGAGCCTGTACGTACGACTGGCCTCGAAGGGGCCGCTGTCGCTGCGCGGTCGAAGTCAGATCACATTCGAAAACAATGGGGAAGGCGAGCGACTTACAATGATGTGTGTGTGTCGTTGAAGACACAGCTGCTGTGCGGAAGTCAGCGTCGACATCGGCGGAGAGTGTGAGATAAAGACGCACGAACTGGCACCGGCGAGCTTCAAGTGCGTCTCGTGAGAGCCATCGGCGAGGACCATGAGGGGTGGTCCGAGGTGCATACACGCCTCATCCTCAGCCTCACGTGCGGTGCGGCGCGAAGCCGCTGCACGCTGTCTCTCGCCTGCCCATCTGGCGGTGAGGATCGCGAAGCGCGAGCGACGCCAGAGCCTCGGTGCCGGGCGAGGTGAGTGACATGAGCCGAGTTCTAACGGGTGGTCAGCGCGAGTGGCGCACGACAGTGGCGAAGACAACTGACCTTCGAGGTGCCGTACGCGTTCGGTGCGGCCGACACTGCGAGTCGGAGGGCAGTTGTGAGTCGGAACCGGCGTGCCTCACCCGGAGGTGAGCATGTTGCCGCCGCGCCCGCTGAGGCGGGCGAGGAGTGAGGAGGTGGCGTGCCGCATGAGCAGGGGTGCGTCGCGAGTGTAGAACATCGTCGAGGTGGTGGGGGTTCTGAGGAGAGAGCGCGCGGGGGAGTGGGGCTTTTATCCTCGCCCCGCGGACCCCCCCCCCCCCCCCAAATCCTGAGTGGCGGCCGCATTTTGCGAGATCTGCGCAGAGAACAAGGCCGTGCACTAGGTTCGCCCAAAGACCCGTCGAGGCCCGCGATGTTGGGGTCCCGAGGACCACCTGGCCAGTCGCCTCCTCCACTTCTCCGCGCCCAAGCAAGACCAGGTGCTTCTCCGGTGGGAAGGAGCTCTCGGATCTCAAAGCAGTCCCTGGAAATTGATTTTAATCAACAGAAACTCGCAGCCGAGTCCCGGCAGAACGACTGACTTACCGAGCGCGAGAAGAGTCGGAGAAATCATCAGGGGCAGGAGGGCACCGCAGGCCGTCGTGTGTCGCGGATTGGTCGCAGAGCCCAAGTGGGGAAGCAGGAATCCAACATAACAGCACCCACGAATGGTTTGGGTGCTCGAGTCAAGCCCCGGTCAGATGGCGGAGTTCAGAAGTGTTGCCAAACAAGGGTTTGGTGTGGGCGTCCGACTGGTCGTGAGCTGTGGACAGATTCGACGTCGCGATTCATGAGTGCTGCTTCTTGATTTAAGCTTCTACATGTGATGATAAACAGCGTAATAACGCACCCGAGATCGTCGCTGGCCTTGCGCTGGCGCTGAGATTGCCACTACACTAGTCGGAGTCTCGACCGAAGAGACGACTCATGGTATCCCGCCATACATCCCTTTATGTGACGGCTTAATACGAACTTAAGAATATATTAACTCTGATATAAGTGCACTGAAGCATTAGAGCCTGTGTTCAGATACCAAGCAATCTCTGGAAAGTTTCTTCAACGAGATGGATGAGAGGAGCAAAAGTGTGCAGAAGCGCACACGAATCCCCAGGTCGGTGTGTTTAGCGCCAATCCCGGCGCTTCTGGTGGTGGACGTCAACTCCGCACTGCTGCCAGTTGGGCTGAATTTTCATTCTACTTCTTCTCCTTCTCCTTCTCCTTCTCCTCCTCCTCGCAACAACACCCCGGACCCGGGCCTCCTCGCAATTATGTGCGTCCGCCTCATGGGAACTAACTATCTGAAAGTAATTTGCCACAATTGGAAATTTGGGAGAAGATTACTAGGTCATTGGCATGCTTCGGGATGCCTCAGCTTTGCGTGGTTTTTGGATGTGTGTGTCCGCATTCATGGAATTGCAGCTGGTATAGGAGTTGCGGACGTTTGGATAAGCTTCTTCTCACGGGTGCAGTGGCTTCTCTTCTGACATTGGAATATGCCGCCACATGGCAGTGGGCACCAGCGGCCGCACGTCCATTATAAGTATGTTTGTAGTTGCGCGCGGACAAACCTGCGATAAATCAGGGCCGTGGATTTCGGGAATGTGCTTCCGCCGTGCACGTACCGCATGTCGCACAATCTTGCCCGAGCGGGTTGCCGTTGGCGCGAGATTGTGGGTTTTATGCGGGAACGAGCGGGGCCCGCCTCGTGGCTCGCGCACGTATTATGCGTCGTTTTGTACCACCACACTCTGAAGGCCCGGCGCTGCCTTCGCTGCCTCTTTCGCGGGCTAACATAAATATACTCAGAGCCGTCTCCTCTCTCGCCCCCGATTCCATTGCGTGTGTTCCTCCAACCTGTACTCTGCATATTCTTCACTAAACGTCCCTCGCTAGGATGCCTCCTATAAACCCCTCACTCAGCATTGATGGGCAGAACAGCAAGATTATGCTCGACATATCCGGCATCGCGGTTTCTTTGGCGGAGACGCGGCCGTAGCAGCGATGTTGGCCGTCCACGTCTACGAGGGCCGGAAGTGGCTTGGCTGGTACAACACCCCCGGTAGCTACGAGATTGCGAAGCGGTGCGGACAGCTGTCCCGTTCGCGCTTCTGGGACGGGCTGTACCCTGGACCCAACCTGACACCCGCGAGGGTCTTGGGCTCGATGGCTCTGAGGGCTCCCGGTATCGATGCGTCCAATCGGGCACGATTATGGTGAAGACGGGCCACATCGCCAGCATCTTCCAGCAGCACTGCGATCAATTGAAGCCTCAGGAGTGGGGCGCCGAGGCATTCCGTATCACGTCCAAGGTCAACGTCTCAATAGCCTACCTCGACCACGAGCCGCCCTCGAGCCTCCCTCCGCTGCGCAACTCAAAACTCGCGTCAGGAAGACGACCCTGGTGGCCATCATCCCCATCTTCGCCTCCGTCGTCACTTGCGTAGCGTGCGCGCTGCACGAGGACTGGATTTGCTTCGCGATGATCCTCGCAGGGATCCTCGCCAACGGTCTCTCTTGCTACTGGATCGGTTCCGGAACGCTCACCTTCACGCGGCCCGAGCCCGCGGGAGGCGCGCTCCCCGTGCACGGCATCCTGAATGACGGCGAGCAGATCATCATCCTCAAAGGTCCCGAGGGCGCGGTCAACGTGGTCACCCGCGGCGCGTTCTCGCTCGACTACGGCTGCGACGAGAGATACCACCGGATCGGGGTGTGCGCGCTCCTCCTCATGACGCAGTTCCTCGCCCAGCTGCTGCTGCTCCCACAAGGGACGCACTTTGGCCAGATTATGTTCCTCACGTCCCTCGCGGTCTCATGGCTGCACAACATCTACCTCTCCGCCGAGTTGTCACTCAACCGCGACAGCATGAAACGCCATATCCTTATGAAGAAGATCCTGCAGGACCCACACATAGTCAAGTACACGCTCGGAACCCCTGCAGCCATGGCCGTCTTCACCCTCCTTGTCCTCGCCGAGCGCGACACCGCTCATCCGGAGCGATGGGACCGCGTCGCGGAGCCGGGCCGCCCGCGCACGGAGGGCCACTCCGACTCGGGCGCGGAACGGGACGAGGCTGACAAGGAGTCGCTCCGGAGCCTGTTCGACGAGCTCCTCCCGAACAACACGCCCACGTGGCAGGAGTGGAAGGACGAGACGCTTCGCAAGGTGCTCGAGCGCCACCGCGGCGCACTGTCCATCTCCCAGCTCGGGGTGGAGGCGGTTGGGCAGCCGTACACGCCGGAGCAGCCCCTAGCCCTGCTCAACACCTTGAACTGGGACGTGGGCGCAGCGTTCTGTGCGTACGGGTCCCTGTGCCAGAGCCTCGTCAAGGAGGTGTGGGGACGCCACAACAGCGAGGACACGTCGGTATGTGCCCCCGCTGGCTCGTTGCGTATGCGGAGTGGGTTGCTGAGGGTTAAGGTTAGGCCACTCTCGAGGCGGATGACCACAAGCGCGAAGACAGCACCAACGACGACGAGTCCACCTTGGTCAAGACGAACTACCTGTCCTCCGATGTGAGTGGTTCCACAGATATGCACCGTCTCCCTTTCTCAACGTCAATCGTTTCCACAGAAACCTACCCACCCTATGCACGACCATCATCTGAGTGACCTCATGAGGCGCCGCAAATACTCAGTTGTGCAGGAGGTGGAGGTTGGTGACTTCATCCCCTCCAGCAGTGGCATGATACCGCTAGGGGGTGGTGGGGTCCTCCGCTAGAGGAGAGGCGGGGTCCTCCGCTAGAGGAGAGGCGGGGTCCTCCGCTAGAGGAGAGGCGGGGTCCTCCGCTAGAGGAGAGGTGGGGTCCTTTTCCATCGTGGATTGAGGGAGACGAGTACAAGCGATACGAAGTAGACAATCGCGTGTCCCTAGGACTCTACTATCACGACCCCAGTGTTCGGATGGGCAAGCGCCGACCGGGGTAGTTCAACGCGTCCTCGTCGCCCCCCTCTGCCGATAATCTTCAAATTTTATAGACCCATTTTAATTGTTTTTCTCCGTACTTCTGCAAACTTTGGGGTCGAGCGGATGACATATGCGTGTATAATCGTTGAAACAGTGGACAGACCCCAGTGTTCGGAAATTTCTCCGCGCGTCGTCACAGACGCGGTCACGGCGCCCAGCTGTAGCCGACGTCAGAGTCTGTCATCAGCGAGCCATTGCCGAGCCAAATCGAGTAGGGTGACGAACAAGCGCTGGATCACTGTCACACCTTCAGAGCTCGACTTTGTACTGTCGACGTCCACGAGGGCGCATCCTCTCGGAGAATTTAGCCAACGCTTTTAAAGTGCGTAAGATTGACATTACCAAATTTCCAAGTGGAGCGCTGGGATAGGTGTTTCAGCCGAGACTCATCAAGGGTGGGACTTCTCCCAGTGAGATGAGTGTATCCTCGAGATCGGACGCAGCATGGGCTGGGGGGACGCGAAACTTCGAACATAGGTGTATGAGAAGCTATCCTAGCCACGTCTAAAATTTCATGGTTATCGAACGAGGTACTGGAGCGCAATTCGCGTTTTTCCGAACACTAGGGTCCATCCGAACACTGGGGTCGTGATAGTACTCAGAGGGCAATCCGCATCAGTAATTCTTCCTCAGTCGGGCTGGGTCTGAAAATGTCAATACAGACCAATCTGACCCCTTTCTGACCTGTCCGACTGTCCGACATCCGACCTTGCAAAATTTGCCATCCGACATTGGCAATTGCTGTATCCTCGTAGTCTGACATTCTGACCTCAATCTGACTTGTGTAAACGGCATTCCTGAGCGGGACGTAAAAATGTGTATATCAAGTCCTGCATACGAGTACATAGTCACACTATCTAATCGAGGTCCCGTACACCTTCCTGGGACACGGATGGTGAGCATGGCGGCGCGTAGAGCTCCCTCGGCGATGCAAGGTACGTCCGAATCTTCGACACCGCACTCGTCCACATATGCACATGTGCACACACCTGTGGGAGGCTCCAGGCCCACACCCCCACCTCCGCTCCCGGGCCCACCTCTGTCCGGCATCACCATCCATACGCGTGGCGGCCGCGAAGGCAACAAGGGGGCGGCGAGGGGAAGCGCGATCGCCACACCACGGTGCAGTGGAACGTGAACCTGCATGCCTCGGCAGCGACGATCCATGCAAGGTTGACGCGGAAGTTGGCCCGTGGCAGGGTCCGTCGACGCGAGGGCCAGGACATTGCATCAAAGGCCTGAGCTCCACGCAACGTTAGCGCGGACGAGACAGGTGACGCGGGGAGGCGGGAACGACACCAGCGAGATAGGTGCACAGGCAACGTGGGTGACGTGGCAGCAACATGGCGGCGAGGCGGGTGACGCAGGAGACGTGGGCGGCGACACGGGGGCGATGGGGCAGGCATCATGGAGGTGGTAGGGTGGAGGTGAGGGTGGATGGAGGCGAGTCCAGCGCGGTCCTGTAACGGGGAAAAATAAACGGATGAAAACTCACGTCGTGGATGAGATAGAGACGGGATGAGCACTCACCGAAAAAAACGGGCTGGACGTCCCACTAGATGTCAACATCGCAGGCAGGAGCCCGCTGCCCGGGAGAGACGCTGTTCAAACGTTACGCGGAGCACCTGTTTCGGTGTCAGTCAAGCCTGGCAAGTTGCCTGCGCAGGTGCTCACACACGCCGTCAACGGCAAAGACCCGGCCGGAGACGTGGCAGGCGACAAGAGGAAGACGGGTGCGTTTGCAATGTCCCCAACTTCGCCGTCGCGCCCGAGCGGGTAGTGGTGCCCGTACCGCTTTGCGTCAGGGCCCGGGGGCGAGACATTCGAGCGCGCGTGGGACGGGAGAAGCGATTCGCGAAGCGTTGAGTACGAGTGTGCAGTCGAAATGGAAGCGGAGGGACTCACATGGGAACCTTTTTCGAGTGTTCTTGACTTCGGGCTGGCGACGGGGCTCCTTGACCTCGTAGGGGAGGAGCTCATTCTCCTACTCAAGCTTGCGAATGCAGATCAGCGGTGGGGGGATCGCGGCGACCTATTTGGGTGACGCGGGCGAGGTGGGCGAGACCGAGTGCAAAAGGGCGGGTGAGATGGGCGAGGTCAAGAGGACGGGCTACGAAGATGAAGAGGACGAGGTGGGAGGTCGGCGACGCGCTGGCAGCCGGAGGTGCGGCTCCGCCTCGGGGACCCGTGGGAACCGACGCGCGCTGCGGGCCGTCGCGTGGACTCCAGCGCCTGGCACTGCCAGCACCGCTAGTACTGCTTCTTCGTCGTTGTCGTCTCCCTTGACCTTTCCTCCCCTGGGCCCGCCTCTTCTCCTGTCCCCTCTCCAAGCCGAATGGTGCGCATAATGCCCCGATCCCTCCCCCGCCCACCTCTCACTATCTTCCAACCGAACACGCCCCGTCTCAAGTGACCTCAGTACATGTCTGCGAACTCGGCCATGCTCCTCGTCTCGCTCGATGGCGACGGAACACCTTGTCAAAGTGCGTACCCACCTCATCCGTCTGTGCATATTATTCACATAAACCTTTGTTCCCTTCTTCGCCCCTGGCATCTCCCTCGTTATCCACTTGCGGAACCCACACCCGCCGACCTTGGACGTCACCTACTGCCAACTTGGGACCACCAAGGAATAGACGGATGCGCAGAGCGATCCTCCGCCCCACCGTGGACCCCGTCTCTTGCAGCCTGACTCTCGCCCAGAGCGCCTCTCGCGCTGGCTCGCACCCACCAATCCCCATCTCCATCGCCCACGCTCCACCCGCGATCCAGCCCGCGTCCGCGCCGGTCGAAGACTCCTCCAACTCCAACAACGTCCCCTCCCTCTCTGGTGCCGACACGAGCATAAACATGGCCGCAGTGGTGCCCCGCCACCGTGGGTGCCTCGCCGCCGCTTGCCTGGAGCGCGACACTGTTCCGACGGGAGAGCGACAGCCTGCAGCACTTGAGCGGCACGATGGTCCACAGCGCACACACGGAGCTCAAGTCAGTCTACATCCCACCTCGTCGCTTGAGATGCTAACACAAGCGTGACTCCTGGATGTGCGCCCCGCCGTTCTCCTCCCTTTCTCCACACCTTGAACCGCCCTCCGACCACGGCTGCACGAGGGACTGCGAACGCGAATAGGACGACAGCCCACGCCAAATCGAGCCCCGCGCTCCCCCAGGGCTGGTCGCGACGGGGCTTATGTGCCACGCCCTCATCGATGTGCCCTTCCTTCTACCATCCACCTGGCCAACAACGTGACGGGCCCCAGTGCACTTGCCCGCGTACCCTCGGCGTCGTCCGTGGGCCAAATCGGCATTTTGCACTAGCGTGAGTCGTTCAACACTGGTGTGGGCGCGTCGAGCGTGCGTCTCTGATTTAACAACAGCAGGTTTGACGGCAACCGGCGGGACTCGGACTGCCATGTCCGAGGTCCAGCGCTGTGACGTGGACTTGCACCCCGTCCTCGCGTTTTGCACATCCCGCCCTGGCCATTCCGCGCACTCGCGCTCGCATGGCACCATGCACAGCCTGGCGACAGCGGGAGTGGGAGCGTGGGCGATGGCTTGGATTCTGTCGTACGAGCATGTGTTGGACCACTTGTGCCTGTATCTAGGATGTACACTGTAGCATTAACACAATATATCATCGTTAAAGTCTCTTAATTGTGTGAAATTCGATGGTGTATACGCTACAGTGCAGGTCAAATGGGTGCTGAGCACCAAAAAATTCAGATCGTCGGATGTGTCAGATGAGGGTCAGATGTCGGAGAAAGTGAGATTTCGCCCGTGGCCCGCCATGTGGCCGTATCAGCAAAAAAGCGTTTTTGCCGACGCGGCCACGCCCGATCCGGATTTCTGTGGCCAAGAAAAAAGTGCTAAATTTCGAAAAAAAATTCGTTCAAAAGGTTCTTTTCTTTTTCTCGGCCTTTCTGCTTAAGAAGCCTCTCCTCTGTCCTCTCCAAACTGCCGTCCCCCCGCCCTTCCCTGCCGTTCCTCAACGTTCAAGGTTCAACGCTGTCCGGGCATCCGTCACACGTCATGCTCCACTGGCGCCCATGATCTCATCACTGGCACCTCTCCATCAGGCTTTCGCCCCACATGCTCTCCGCGTCGTCCTGGCCTCTGCCTGCACTGCACTCGCCCTCCACCTGCACTGTGCTCGCCGCCTCCCCCGTCTCCCACTCTCCTGTATGTCAACTCACACCCGCTACTCGTCCCTGTGACGGTCTGCGTAGCTCTCGATCTCACAGAGCCCCCTGACAGCCGCCCTGAGCCCCACCATAGGGCCACGAAGCAGGTGGCCGACATCGACGCATGGCGCACCGAGCACACTGTCGACTCACACCCTCTTCGCCGACTTCCCCACCGATGAGCTGGAGTCTACCTGCGCCGGGCCGGCCGGCGCAACAAGGTGCGTCACCTCGCTCCGTCTCACCAGCCTGCCCTCACCCACTTGTACGCATATTCCTTCGTGTCCACAGAACGGGCTCCCAGTTTATGTGCACCGCATTGCATCTCCCACGCCGCCCATCTAGAATTCAGGGGCTCAGCGCCATGACCACACTTTCCCTCGGTGCCACAAGAATGAGCCAACCCATCGTCCCACTCTCCCTCGACCTCCCACTTTCCCGGTCGACCTCCCACACCCCCACGTCCTACCGTGCCCCCTACGTCGCCCCCTTCTCCTCCTCCTCCCACCCATGGTCGCGCTCCCACAGCAATTCCCACGTCCCGCCACCCCCCGCAACAGTGGGTTTGGCACCTCTGATCCCGTGATATTCACCAACGACGCACGCTAGGCGCGCCGCTGCCCCACAGTCTTCGAAGGTGAGCACAGCCAGGACGTCCCCTGTCGCGGGACGGCGTGCGATGGCAGTGCGTCCGACTCAGGACACGGCGTGTCTGAAGACACCCCAACTCGAGGACCAACCCTCATGGCATTGACAAGCAGGCCATCGCTGATTGTAGAACTGGTGCACTGCTGGAGATTTTCCGGTGGTGTGATGGAGAGCCCGGCGACGACTTCCACAGCGACGAGACATGCCATGCAGTCATCCCATCCTGTGGAACAGTCCTCTGGACAGGCTTCGTGGGCTCATGGGTCCAACCACGATTACGACGGCGGGTGGGTCATGGAGGGAGCAGCAATAGCGACATCGTGACACGTCCCGCCCCAGTGGAATGGAGGGTCAACTATGCCTGGACCGGAACTCAAGCTGCCGCTGGTGCGGGTAAAGCGGCCACCGCGAGTGCGAGCGCGGTAGACGGTGCGTACTTGGCTATTTCCTACGTTCCCTTGGTCTATTTTAATATGAGCTCGCCTGCAGGCCGTCTCCTGGACCATGCTACTATACTTGACCCTCACAACCTCTTGTAAACCCTCACCCACGCCCTTGAGGTCCTCCTTATCGCCCACAACGGCCCCGCCGCCCACCACGGCCTCGGCTCTGCCCCTCTCCCCCTCCCGCTTTCCCCCTCGGACTGCTCGATCTACCTGTTCCACCAGAACCACTATGTTGATCCCTCACCCTCACCCTCGCCCTCACCCTCACTGACACTCACCCTTGCCACGCTTCTCACTGCGCTGCATCCGCACCTACACACGCCGATCACCGTGGACTACTACAACACCACGCCGAGCCACTCCGTGCGGGTATGCTTCATGAACGTGTGCAGTGTGCGCCAGGGCGGGTGGTGGTGGTACATGCACATGGAGGGCGGCCCGACGTCTGTCGGATTCATTACCCGATGGACTATGGGACCTGAGGAACGTCCCAGGCAAGGAGGAGGGCGAGAGAATTTGATGGCGAAGGTGGCAGGTCTCGTGGGCATGATTCCAGTGACAGTTCCAGCTGGTGCGTTCCCTCTTGACCTTCGGTGGCGAACAGATTTCTAAGGACGTCCGCTTAGCAGCCAAGACCTTCGGCCCCACCCTCTCGCTCAACACGACCCATTCAATGGATATGCTCACTGCGCCTGCTGTGCGCTGTTTCAGCGCCAGTGCATCCTTTTGGAGAGCTCGCGCTAGTGGTGCGCCATCAACGGGCCCGAGGGCTTACACGTTATTACATTGAGTACATGGGTCTCCATGGTCCGTATCCGATAGTCATCCCTAGCTCGTTCTGCGCTCCATGTCATAGTTTTACCTGTGCTATTCTATTGTTTCTTGTCTGTCTTCTATCATGCTCGTTATCGCCCATCTTCCCCTTCAACATTAAGATTGTGGCGCCCATATGCATCTGAGTCCCGCCTTGCACAGTGCGCTTATCCTGATCTCTTGCTTGTCTTAGCCTCCGCATTTGTGCATCGCCGCATCCCCTCCCCCTTTTCCTCTGCCTACATATGCCTCACCATACTATTTCTCTGTCTGACATTGTTAGCTTTCTATCAATGCCAGATCAGATCCACATCACACAAGCTCTTTCAGCGCACTCCTTCTCCATCTTCATTCAGTTGGTGTCCCATTTCCGCACACATCTGGCTTGGACAGCCAATCTGTCCTCAGATCAGCCACCTCCTCGCCTTTCTGAAGATATGCAACTGTTCTTCACTGGTGCTCTCGATATCTCTGTTCATGTGTTCGAAAAACTCTGGCAAACACTCAGCCCCATAGTTTGGGATCGCACAAGCAGGTGTTTGGATCCTCTTCAGAAACCCTCCAAGGAGATCATAGACATCATTCTGAAACATGGCACAATGCACGGGATAGGTGAGTTACCCCTTTATTTGATTTATACTGCACTCCTCAACGTTTTGATAGCGGCATACTACTTCCACCTGCCCACTTCAGTATGCTTTCATGATGAATGCTGGTACACAGCAACTCACTTAAATGGTCAGCCACGCAACCTAGGAGATAGGCTAGTCAACCGTGGTGTCTACTTCTCCCACGAGTATGGGCCCTTGACCGCGTGCTCGTATAGTGCAGCGTGTCCTCGTTCGTAGCTTTCTCTCCATCTCCAGCATTGTTCTTATATAATCGCTGTTGATACAGGCTGCCGGACTCGCTATTACCACGATTTTTTTGTCAACACACACACCAGCCAGCGGCGATATTATGGTGGGCTCCCACAGGCATTTCAAGTGTCTACCCATGCCTTTCTGGAATGGTCTCGACTCTCTATCAGAGAGATTCACTATCTCACCTGTACCTCACAAGATCAGAGTCAATTGATCTGTGATCACCCCCCCGGGGTGATTCCACTTTCGGTAACTGCAAACGTCTCTAAGCCTGCGTACTGTAGTGCCTCTACGGATATCGATGAAGATACCTTGTAGGGAAACGTTAGAACGCGGGCACATGCCCAAGTCCCCGCCCCCTTCCCCAACGTCCCCGAGGGCTCGGCCCAGCCGTCCTCCGCGCTTCCCCGGCACGCGTGAGCAGATTCCTGCGCCACGCCGCCGCCCGCCCTTGATGGCCCCGGTATATCTGGACGCTGCGCGCCACCGGGTCTCCGCCGGCGCCTCGCCTCTCCACCACCTGTGCTCGCCGCCCCCAACAGCGAGCTCGCTGTTCCTGTACCCTGCCTCCCCCTCCCCTCCGTTTCCCTCCGTTCTTTTTGGTACCTGCTTGTATTTTAAATGTGCACCTAATGATACACAATGCAATAGCTACAGTTGGCTGGGTGTGCCTGCACTGAGCCCTTAAATCCCCCAAAATGCGTGCAACATAGGAACATATAGAAGCAGTCCATCGATGGGATAAGTTCTGCATAAGTTAGCTGTATATGAGAGCCTCTGTAATCTGAACTTGCAGGTGGATAGCTGAAGGGGTGAAGGCATGATGTCATATGTTATTTCAGAATGACATACTCCACAGTGATATGGAATACACATTTATTGTCTTATGTACACCTAGAATCGTTCATAGAGGACATTAAGAGTGTGTTGCAAAAGACAGCAAGTCAAAGTACGATGTTCTAATGAAGATATAACATATACTCAGAAGGGGGAGTTGGCTTGAAAATGCGGTCTTCATATGTTTTGTGCAGACCTCCGATCACTGTACATCTTGTTGCATCATGTTTACATGTATGTGGAGAGCTCAGATCGTTGTTTTGGTGCTTATCGGTGAAGGACTGAATACAGGCCATGGTATGTCATTTTTCTATGACATAACGTATAGTGAGATAGCATGTGCTCCGATTGTTATTCTGAAAAGCGGAATAGAACAGGGTACTCTGCTGCTCAACGATGTAGAAGGAATCTCGAGAAACGGTTCAGGAGTGGATGAGATATGGCAGATGAGCTTGAAGGGTGCACAGTGTTGAAGGTGGTTCAAGGGCGTCCTCTGGACAACTTGCCATTCTAGACCCATATGACATATCTCATCCACTCCTGAACCGTTTCTCAAGATTCCTTCTACATCGTTGAGCAGCAGAGTACCCTGTTCTATTCCGCTTTTCAGAATAACAATCGGAGCACATGCTATCTCACTATACGTTATGTCATAGAAAAATGACATACCATGGCCTGTATTCAGTCCTTCACCGATAAGCACCAAAACAACGATCTGAGCTCTCCACATACATGTAAACATGATGCAACAAGATGTACAGTGATCGGAGGTCTGCACAAAACATATGAAGACCGCATTTTCAAGCCAACTCCCCCTTCTGAGTATATGTTATATCTTCATTAGAACATCGTACTTTGACTTGCTGTCTTTTGCAACACACTCTTAATGTCCTCTATGAACGATTCTAGGTGTACATAAGACAATAAATGTGTATTCCATATCACTGTGGAGTATGTCATTCTGAAATAACATATGACATCATGCCTTCACCCCTTCAGCTATCCACCTGCAAGTTCAGATTACAGAGGCTCTCATATACAGCTAACTTATGCAGAACTTATCCCATCGATGGACTGCTTCTATATGTTCCTATGTTGCACGCATTTTGGGGGATTTAAGGGCTCAGTGCAGGCACACCCAGCCAACTGTAGCTATTGCATTGTGTATCATTAGGTGCACATTTAAAATACAAGCAGGTACCAAAAAGAACGGAGGGAAACGGAGGGGAGGGGGAGGCAGGGTACAGGAACAGCGAGCTCGCTGTTGGGGGCGGCGAGCACAGGTGGTGGAGAGGCGAGGCGCCGGCGGAGACCCGGTGGCGCGCAGCGTCCAGATATACCGGGGCCATCAAGGGCGGGCGGCGGCGTGGCGCAGGAATCTGCTCACGCGTGCCGGGGAAGCGCGGAGGACGGCTGGGCCGAGCCCTCGGGGACGTTGGGGAAGGGGGCGGGGACTTGGGCATGTGCCCGCGTTCTAACGTTTCCCTACAAGGTATCTTCATCGATATCCGTAGAGGCACTACAGTACGCAGGCTTAGAGACGTTTGCAGTTACCGAAAGTGGAATCACCCCGGGGGGGTGATCACAGATCAATTGACTCTGATCTTGTGAGGTACAGGTGCACTATCTCTGCTGCGTTTGCATGGTAAGGCCATTTATAGGCCACAAACAATCCTTGCTCTGACTGCTACTCATTTAGGGTTTCTTTTGCAAACAATGCTCAAATCTACAACACTGAACACAAGCAGGCCATAGAAGAGTTCCCGAAGATATGGAAGTCAATCTTGCCCACCCTCACTTCACTACTAGTGTCAGATGCCTTCTATATAGCCGCTCTTCTGTGCGACCATGATGAGAGAGGGGGTCTTCAACTAAATCTGGAACGCAGTGGGGACCATGATGCACAACTTGAACCTGCACTGGATGCTCAGACTTGTCGCCTGGTTGGTGCTGCTCGCAAGCATTGGAGCCACGTTTGCAAGAGATGCTGTGCGGAGAAGACAGATCCGGAGACAGGAAGAACTAGTGAGTGTTTTTAATTGTCTCACATATGCTTAATCACCTTAATGAAATTCTGTGACCGATAGAGGGCTTGCGAGCTGTAGTGATGGATGGAGTGACTGTCGGACGTCCGTGTTGTGGTGTCAAGGACTGCCAGTTACCTCTTCAATCACAACGACATCGGTTCTGCGAGCTTCACAAGAACAAACAGTTGGTCTGCTCGGTCATAGGCTGTCGTCAACCCTCCGAGCATCCTCAGTTCAAGACATGTCTTCAGCCTGCTCACCGTGTTCTGGAGATTCTATCAAAGCAAGATGCATACTTCGTTCTAACTTAAGGCTGCATGCGGATCGATCCACGGATGATCCGGAGTCTTATCCGTGGATCAAGGCCTTTCTCAGGCCTTGATCTGGATCCGCGTGGGTCAGAGCCTCCGGAAGGGCCGGAGTCATGGGACCCGGACCCGCACTTTGCGGATTGAGCCGTGAATAGAGCCGTGATTCGCAGAAAATACGGATAGGCTCGACCTGTGGATCAAGAACGAGCCACACATGGAGCCGTGTCTTATTGATCCGCGCACAAATGGCTGGATCCGTAGGTGCGTGAAGTAATATATTATAAAAACATCAGTATGTAGGATAGCGCATGACACAGGCGATGCGAGGACACAAGGGCGCAGGACGCTAGGGCGCAGGACACTAGGGCACAGGACACGACAACGTGAGGTGAGCACGTGGACGCGAACTTCGAAGACACGAGACGCGAGGGTCGAAGAGGTGATACGTGAGGTGAGGGCGCAGGTGCGAGCACGAGGTGAGGACGCTGGTGCAGACACGAGGAGGCAATGCCATAGTAGGATGCGGTGCGGGTGGATGCGGCCGTGCATGCACAGACGTGAGGTTGGACACTGGAGGGCGGGAGACACAAGCCTTGCGTCTCACACTGTGCAAGGCGAGGACGCGGACGCGAGGTGCGGACACGGACGCGAGGTGAGGACACGGACGCGAGACAAGGACGCAAGGGTGGAGGGCGCGAGAACGTGAGGTGAGGACGTAGATGCGAGGTGGGGATGCGGACGCGAGGCAAGGGCGAGTACACGGACGTGGGCATGGATGCGGACACGGATGAGAAGGGGTGAGGGTGGAGGGCACGGACGCACAGTATGAGCGTGAACGAGGAGTGGTAAGCATATATTGGCCACATTGGTGGCATGCGCGAATGTAACGGTACAAGAAAACTACAGACGGAATTAGTTGGCGGGAGCACGGCGGCCGCTGTTTGTGCCCTTCTTGTCCCGAAGGTACTCAACCATCTCAGACTCAGGGATGAGGCCGGGGATGCGCGCCCAGGAGCCAAGGATTGTGTTCGCCCGGACGGAGTTGTTGCCCAGCGAACGGCGAAGACGAGAGACAGTCAGGCGGCCGCGCGAGAACGCCCGCTCGGCATCAGTAGACGTGGCTGGAAGCGCGATAAGTGAGCGGTGGAAATATGCGTGTGGGGATGCCTGTGCATACCGGGGATTGAGAGATAGTCAAGCGCCATGCGGGCGAGCGCAGGGTCTTCCGTGCCGCTTTTGAGTGCAGCACTCCAGTAGGCGAGAGGGTCCTTGATGGAGGTCTTCGGCGCCGTATTGAGGTACTTGTCAAGAACATCAACAGTGACGCCACGCCCGCGAGCGCTGATGGAGGCGAACAGCTATGAAGGGCAAACATGAGTTCGTTTAATGCGAGCGAGTAGCGCAGTGGGTATGGTACTTACCACGGCGCTGACGCTGCAGCGTGCAGGAGCAGCAGGGGCTGGGATCTGGGTCGCCGAACGAGGGAGTGAAGACGACGGGGCAGCACTGGCCGAGGATGATGCTGCACCGGTGGGCCCCTGCTTGTCCAAGGCAAGACTGGCAATAGAGGGGTTGTTGGGCTTGTAGTAGGTGATCCACGCCTCACAGAAGAGGTCGCGCACGGTCTGGGTCCACTCCTTGGGCCACCCCGCCTTCTGGAAGTAGCTGAGCTTGAGAGCAGGGTGCAGGACTGCAGCGCAGATCGCGTCAGAGAGGGATTGTGAGAGGTAAAAGGGTGAGTTACTTACTCATGGCAATCCTGTAGACCGGGGTCTCGTCCGTCTTGCTGTAGTACTTGTTTAGCATAGCGCGGGTGAGGCAGGCAGCCTTCCGAATCGCGGGATGGAGGGTGGCCTGGTCGACGAAGTCGTCAAGGTGCTTAGTCAGCACATCAATGAAAGGAATTACCTCGTGCAGAAGGGCACGCGTGCTCGAGGAGATTTCATTAGTCGCATAGAGAAATGGCTGTATGAGTGCCATGCAATTATGAGTCGTCAGCACACGTTGTCGGCGAAAGGTTATTCGAGTACTCACATCCATCAAGTGATAGAGCTGCTCAAGCAAAGTCCACTCGCGCTCGCTGAGGATGAAATGCCGCAGGCGCACACCCCCAGAACGGTTGAACTGGTGCATATCACACAAGTTCCTGAGGACATCCTTCAGCTCAAGCGCGCGACCAATGACGGACACAATGGTGTTCCACCGTGTCTTCACCGGGCGGATGAGGACGCGAGAGTTGAGCCTGGTGTCAATAGCGAGCTTCTCCAGTTCTTCACGAATGATAGGGCTATGCCATACCTTCTGCGAGAGCTTGGAGAGCTGCCGTGGTGTGCGCACGTGAGTGTTGTGTGGCTATGCGTAGAGAACAGCGACCATACCTTGTCGAGGGCGGCGATCGCCTCCTTTGTATCCTCAGAGGTGCATGTCAGGTTGTCGTCCTCGAGACCGTCGATCAGCACGTCATCAGCAGCCTCGCACGCATCATTGGCCTCCTCGAGGTCGTCTTCTTCATCATCGCCTTGAGAGTCTTCAGAGAACTCGTCGTCCTCGTCGCCGCTGGTGTTGTCGTTGTCGTTGGTGTTAGAAGCGCGGCGGCGTTTCTGGAATGGCTTGACCGTGGCCTGCAGAATGTGAATGAGTTTAAGTGAACTCCAAGGAGAGTACTAGGAACCATACCTTCGAAATGAGGTTCAGCACATGCCTGAAGCAGCGCACATGCCCATCTCCAATACGCGTGAGAGGATCTGCGGCATGCAGGTGTTGCATGAGGGCGGTGTTGACCTCAGCATTGTCGCAGGTCACACCGATTACCTGCAGATGGAGGCGATTGGCGTGAGGTCCGCGTGTATTCAAGAGTGCGTGAGGCAATGGACATACCTTCTCGAACAGGCCAAACTCTTGCAAAGTGTCCTCGAGCTTTTTAGTGAGGTACCTTGCAGTGTGAGACTTTGTGAGCCTGTATGAACGAGACAGATTATCAGCCTCAACTGTTGGTGTGCGTAGTAAATGAACACTTACTTGACAAAGTCAAGGATTACGTGCATAATGACGCCACCGGCCTCCCAGTGAGCAGTGATTCCGAGGAAGGAGATCACGTTTGAAGAGGTCCAGCCGTCAATGCAAATATGAACACCCCCTGTGAGGTTCTAGCCGCATGTTAGAACGAAGCCGACACAATATATAGTGTCACATACCTTGAAATACTCCACAAGACGCTTCTTGGCCTCCACGTGTATATCGCGGACATCTTGAGATATCGTGTTGCGGCTGGGGAGCTTGACCTTGCTATAGAGCATCCCCACAATGGCACGGAACTCCTTGTCGTCGACGATCGTGAAGGGGCGGTGGCTGCGAGCGCACCACATCGCCAAATGGAAGCGCATGCGGTGGTCGGAGTACGTGACGCCGCTGGCAAATGCCTCGATGAGCTCGACCTCTGGGGTTGCACCAGGATCGCACGACTTGATGTGGCACAACAAGTTCCCAGTGCTCTCTTGGTACTCGAGCCGGTCGACAGTTTTGGTGGGGTTCCTAGGGCAAGGGGTTAGCGGCCAGCTTCACGAGTGATCTAATTGTGAAACAATAGAACGTACCTCTTGCACACAAAACGGTGAATGACAGAGCCGTTCGTGCCCTCGACAATACGTGGATGCGCGAAGTGGGCGTACACAGATGAGCGCCACTTCTTCGTAAGCATATCTGAGGAAAGGTAGAACAAGATAAGTAGATAAACCGACTAGTATTAGAGAGACAAGGCTTACTGAGAGTGGATTCGGGCGTAAGACCGGCATACTTCTGGGCGAAGCGAGCCTGGCGGGAGTTCGCGACATGGATACCCGCGAGGTGGCCACTAGTACGAGTATGACCCTTGAGCGCGGCGACGACGTCATCACCGTCGTTGTCTTCGCCCTCGGATTCAGACGCGGCAGGCGTGGTAGCGGTCCCGGTGGTCTTCCCGTCGTCCTCGTCATCGGTGACAATGATGGGGGTTGAAGCCGAGCGGGTGGAAGCTTTTCCGTGGTTGGTACCACGTGGAGCAGTGGGCGTACTGCACAATATCATAGTCAGACAAGTTACACCAGCCCGAGGTAAGGCTGTATGCAGGTCTACCTGCAGGTGATCTGGATCTGTACCTGCAGGTAAGCATGTCTGACAGACACTGATCTGGATCTGTAGTGATCCGGAACTGTCAGGGACCCGGATCTGTATGATCTGGACCCGTGACCTGCAGGTACACCTGCGAAATGACCTGCAGGTCATTAAAACCTGCGGATCCAGGTACTACCTGATCTGTAATATTCAGGTACACCTGCTACATGACCTCCAGGTTGTCAATACCTGCAGATCCAGGTATTGGTTTACTTGAAAAACTAACTATTACACAATGCGGAGTTGTAGAAACGTCCTTGCGAGTCCCTAGTTTGGAGCCTGCACGTGCAGGAATCTGACGCAGGCAGAGAGCGTGAGTGCGGACTCGGGCGGACTCAGTGGAGGGTGGACGATGTGGCAGACATGGCAGACGGGGATGACGCGCGGATGCGGAGGAAGCGCGGAGAGCGCGGAGGACCTGTGGAGGACGCGGAGGACACGAGAGTGGGTGAGGGAAGAGGCGGGCCACAGAGGACGCGAGGGTGGAGGTCGAGGACGTGAGGACGTGAGGACACGGAGGCTGAGGACGCGAGGACGCGGAGGACGCGGAGGACGTGAGGACGCGGAGGTCGAAGACGCGAGGGCGGAGGTCGAGGACGCGAGCGCGGACACGCGAGTGGGTGAGGGAAGAGGTGGGCCAGAGGACGCGAGGGCGGAGGTCGAGGACGCGAGGATGCGGACGACGCGGACGACGTGTGGAGGGGAGAATATAATATGTGCATTGGTATTCCTACGTAGACACCCACAATTAGCATTACCCTGGGCCTCACGACGCGCGCGCGCAGCCTTCTTGTCCTTCAGGAAGTCCACCATCTCAGTCTCGGGAACCAACGCAGGGATCTGGGCCCAGG